ATATGAACATCGCTGCCGTGCTCACTTCAGGAAACGAGGCCTGGAACGGCTGCTATGCCCCGTCTTCTCCGCAGCACGACTTGGTTGAAATCATGAGGCAGTGAGTTCCGAGGGTCAATGGTCATCGAAAGTCAACTGCATCTTTTAGAGGTGATGAGCATTGTCTGAAACAGATTAAGCAAAGCAGGCGTTCGTTACCTTGCATTAAACTGAAAACAGAAAACCCTTCCCAAAATATCCGCGTTCTGTTGTCCTGCTCTTTTGCCCTCTTGCTTCAAAACAATGAAATAAAATATAATTCCCCGGCCTCCATGCTCTCACCGGATGTTTACTTCAGCAGCCCCTGCAAACTTCGTGGGCCTGTTATTTTTAAATTGCAGGTCGGCTCTGCTTTGCTTGGGGAACGTGACTCATAATTTCAAGCCAGTTAAGACGGCCCGGTTGCCCGTCTGGCAGCAGCCTCCTCAAAAACAGAAATCCAGCTGAGGGAACAGGGCGTTCGCTCCCTGCAAACCTGCTGGGTCAGCGGCTCCGGTGGGCGAGGAAGGGATCTGCGGAACTGGCCGAACGGGGAAGCCAGCCCGGCCTGTCCGTTTCGAGAACGGCCTGAACCAAACCCGCTCGCATTTCCTGTGCAGAAGAGCGTGCGTTCACAGTCCAAATTTTTCGGCTTCCTCCATCACGTTATTTCCCCCAACGCTTATTGGAAGCAACTCCTGACAACTCCTGACTAGTTACTTTGGGACGCACTATTTCCCCCAACGCTTATTGGAAGCAACTCGTTACAAGTCATGCAGGGACCTTCACTAGTTACTTCGGGACCCACCGTGGAACTAGTTGTTGCAAAGTTACTTTCTAGGTATAGTAAGTAATCATATAAAGGGTTCAGAGATTTGCCCCTGGAAAGCTCACACGATGGCAGTTAGTCTTTAAGATGCTGCAACGTTTGCATTTGCAAAAGCAGAGCAGGACGGGGGCATTTTGGAGAGGGCTTCTCCATAGGGTCGCCTTGTGTCGGCGGTGACTTGATGGCATGACCCCATAACCCCCACAACCCTCTGATTTCGAGAGCAGGAAACTCACCGTCCCTGAGAGCGACCCATCATCCACACAAATAGAGGTGCCTGGTTGGCAGACCTCCAGAGAGGAAGGATTCTACAGTGGTGCCTCGCTAGACAGTTACCCCGCATGACAGTTTTTTTTCGCTAGACATTGGCTTTTTGCCATCGCTATAGAGATTCGCAAAACAGTGATTCCTATGGGGGAATTTCGCTTCACAATGTTTGGTCCCTGCTTCGCAAACCGATTTTTGCTAGATGACAATTTTGACAGCTTCCTCCACAGTTGCAAAACGGGTGTTTCCGGGATCTAAGCTTCGCAAGAGAGCGATTTAAACAGCTGATCGGCGGTTCGCAAAGTGGCTTTCCTATGGCTGATCTTCACTAGACGACAATTCTTCCCCATTGGAATGCATTAAACAGGTTTCAATACATTCCAATGGGGAAATGCTTTTCGCTAGACAATGATTACACTAAACAACGATTTCAGTGGAATGGATTATCATCATCTAGCGAGGCACCATTATATTCTATTCTCTGGATGGTTACGCCACAGCCCGGGGGAGCCCTTGGCCCGCCTGTGAAGTGCTGTGTGGGTTTATCATCATCTAGCGAGGCACCATTGTATTCTATTCTCTGGATGGTTACACCACAGCCCGGGGGAGCCCTTGGCCTGCCTGTGAAGTGCTGTGTGGGTCCATCCATAATCCTGGCTCTCACTCGCTCACTCTCTCCACTCCACCGGCCTCAGAAGAACCTCTGAGCGCCTGTTCTCTGCTGATAAGTCAGGCGGCGCATGGGAGCGAGGGCTGGCCGCCGCAGGAGGGCTTGTCCTCCTCTAGAGCAAGAGCTGAGGCCCTTCAGTGGATGGAAAGGCTCCCCGCCGGGCCCTTTTGGAGGAAAGGAGAGCATGCCACGCACACTCAGCCGCGCACTGAAAGGCCCGCCATGTCGGGAAAGGGAGGAGAAGATGTTGGGAACCGGGGTGGCTGGGGTTTGGTTTGCTGGGTCCCAGATGTGCAGGCCCTCGCCGGGGACGCTCCGCCTGGCCCTCAGCTTCCTGCAGTAAACACTGCACCCTCGACCGCGCTGTCCAGGACATTGTGTTCCCTTTTGCGTTTCCTGCCTGCAGAAGCGTTTGTTGTGGTGAGCACACAACAGCCCCCACAAAGTCAGAGAGTGTGATACAGAGAGAAAGAGGCCCCTGCTTGCTTTCACAGGAAAGGAAAGTTGAGCTTGGTTTCGGAAACATGTAGGGTTTTCGCTTCCACAGCGACCGTGGGCCCGGGCTGCAGCGTTCTGTGTAGTGCAGTGGTTGGCCAGCTTCTCTGGCAACACTCACCTTCTCATCACGATTTCTGACCCATCTTCCCAGTTTGTAGCTCCTTCCACACTCAGAAAAGGTCTTTTCTCATCCCCCCCCTTTTTTGCTTTCCTCTCCCTTTTGGGCTGTTCTTCCTGTAAATATTCTGCCTGCAGCTCCTCTTATCTTGCTTTGTAGGATGATTAAAAGCTCCCGTTTCCTCTCTCTCCCCTTGCATTGTCTTCAAAATGTAGCATTCATCACTTTTGGTCTCAAAAACTCTTTGCATTGACAGCAGGGATAGCTTGCAACCCTCCTCCATTCCTTAGGGAATCCATTTCTCTCCCAGCTCCTCTCAAGAACTGCGGCTAAGCTCAGAAGGAAGCAGGAAGCCCTAAAGAGGTGACAGACAACGTGGTCCTCCTGGCTGTTAAGAAAATCATGTTGTTGTTTTGCCCTGAAAGCCATGATTCTGCTACAGGAAGCAGAAATCAAGAGCGATGTTCTTCAGAGCATGCGCAGAGTATGTGTGTTTTTTTGAGGTCAGAGAGCCCCAGAGCCTGGCCAAAAGGGAAGTGTTAGGTGCCTTTAAGTTACTTCTGAATAATGGTGATCCTAATAGGGTTTTTGAGGTCCATACCTTATTCAGGTAAGAGTGCTCTAAAGAGCTCTGCACAAGGCAAGGAGCCCGGGTTGAGAGATCGGTGTGTGTGTGTGTGCATGCACTTGGTCCTCTTCTAATCCCTGGAGCAAAGCAGAGAAAGGATGCGAACCCCCCCCGGCTTGTTTCCAGATTCGGATTGGTACTCTTTTGCCTGGCCCGCCTCGCATCTGGCTCATGGATATTGCCATCCTGGCAGGCCCCTTTATTTCCATCCGCTGTCCAGAGAGAGATAGCGCCGTGTGCATCATGTGTGAAGAAAGGATCCAGTCGGCGCGGGGGGGGGGGAGAGAACGACAAGCCAGGCATGGAGATAACGAGCAGATCCCTAATCAAGCCAGGACCTCTGCCAGACCAGAGTGGCGGAGACCGATAGGGGCCCACGGATCGGGTTCCTCCTCTCTGGATCCCTCCTTCTCCTTTCTATCAGGAGGGGGGGGCGTCCCACGTTGGTAGGCCCTGCGAAGCAGGAAAACAAGACCAGAGGGAGGCGACGTAAGGGGAAAGGATGGGTCCCCGCTGCGCCCGGGTGCAAGCAGGCTGGGTGCTTTGCCAGGCGACGTTCACCAGAGAGAAAACAGAAGCAAAGAGACGTCGGTCGCCAGGTCAGCTCCCGGGTGACCCCCCACCAAATTCAGCCCCCGAAGGGCAGCCTTCAGATCTTTCTCCGAAACCTACCCTGCTCACCTACGCACGAGTAGGACACTGAATACTCAGATTGACGTCTGTCTCCCGGTCAGCCAAGTAGGGCTTGCGTTCCTCCGAAGCCTATCAAAGGCCACAGCTGGCAGCTTGTTTACGACAAATGCCGGCCTTCCTTTCATACCAACTCCGCCCTCCATCATTCTGTCCTCTTGTCTATCAATCACGCTCCCTGGCCACGTTCCAGGGACTTTGACGCTCTGAAGTTTCAAAGCTGGCTGTCTAGTCATCATCATCATCATCATCTTAGAACTGCAGAGCTGGAAAGGGCCCTCTGGGTCATCCAGTCCAGCTCCTGTCCTGGCTGCTGCACGGGGGGAGGGAATTCGAACCCCGAACCTCTGGCTCTACAGCGAGGGACCTCAACCCCTGAGCGATCCCAGTGCCAACATACTCGGGGTTCTTCCAAAAGCGGAGCAGAGTTGTTCGCAACAGGACATTTTAACAATGAACCGCTAAACACCGCTGCGCAAACCTGACCTTTCCCTTTATCCGTCCCAGAAACGGGACTTACTGCAAACATTCTATAGCTTTTTTTTTCCTGCCTTTGGACAGCAAAGGGGTTATTGAAATCGGGGAAACTCTGCCAACGCGGGAGAATCTAAGGGAGCCAAGCAAGGCGCCGAGTAAAAAATACGGACCTTTTTATTGCAGAATCTACACACAAATTGAAAGGAGCAAGATTTTAAAAAAGAGTGAGCTGTTGAAGGTTCAGTATTGGTAGAAGACTATCAATTCTTTATGGCTGTGGTTTCTCTTTCTTCTTAATATCTGCTGTCCCAAGATATTGACAGCAGCCCGAAATTCCACAGGTGAAGCACGTTCCGGGGTGGAGCGCAAGGGCAGCCGGCCTCTCCTGGGATCACTCAAAACAGCTGCCAAGGCCAGCTGCAGGGAGGCGTCTGGAGCAGAGCTTAACCTGTTGAATTTCTTCCTGCGACACAGGAGAGGGTTTTCCTTACTGCTTTGGCTTCCTTCCTGGAAAATGGGGCAGCCCAGCCATTTAAAGATCTACTCTGAGTAACCCCTTTTGGTTATAATTTGAACGCATTAAATTCTTAATCTGTATGAGATTAAATGAGAAAGCCATCAAGACAGGTGAAAGAAGTCACCCAAGTCCCAAGATATTGACAGCAGCCCGAAATTCAACAGGTGAAGCACGCTCCGGGGTGGAACGCAAGGGCAGCCTTCCTGGAAAATGCTGCAGCCCAGCCATTTAAAGATCTACTCTGTGTAACCCTTTTTGGTTATCATTTGAATGCATTAAATTCTGCGACACAGGAGAGGGTTTTCCTTACTGCTTTGGCTTCCTTCCTGGAAAATGGGGCAGCCCAGCCATTTAAAGATCTACTCTGAGTAACCCCTTTTGGTTATAATTTGAACGCATTAAATTCTTAATCTGTATGAGATTAAATGAGAAAGCCATCAAGACAGGTGAAAGAAGTCACCCAAGAGCACTCTGTATATGCCCAGGGGCATTCTCACCCTCTCTCTCGGAAGTCTTCAAACCAAGTAGAAACAACACAGGCAGTGTAGTCGAGTGGCGAATGGGCTGGACTCAGATCTGGGTTCAAATTCCCACAAAACGCACTACATCTTCTCCCACCCTTCCTCTCCTCGCTGGGTTTACGGTGACGACTCAAGATGGGAACGGCATCAGCCACCGAGCCAGGGCCAAACGTCTGAAGCAAAACTGACCACACGAATTGTCACGAACACACAACCCCAAGAGACTCTGAAACAGCAACAGGAATAGAAACATCATGGGATTTAGGAAAAGGGGAGCAAAAGTCGGAATGTTGTTTGATAACACTTCAAAAACAGCATCAAAAATGTTTTTAAATTGCCTATTTTCTCTTGGCGGGGGAGGAGAAGCAAGTCCAGTGCTATTTAAAATACACCGATGGCAAAATGCTGGTTCTGTGTGACGCGCAAGGCGAGTTATGCGCTGGTGTGCCAGGAAAGAGATGCAGGATCCGCACACCCATCCTGGGTCCATCCTAAGACTTTACCAAGTTTTCTGCCAACTTCTGGGAAACGCTGGTTCTGTTCCCATTTTGCCTCCTTTGACAGAATCCAGAGGTCTGTAGAATTTAAACCCATCTCATTAATATGTCTGGCTGATTCTTCCCCCCCCCCCGAAAAGGCACTCTTTCGCATCTCCTTTGTTTCCAAGAAATGCGAAGAATGTTGGAAGAGACAAAACAGAAAGATGGGGATGCTTTTCGGGACATTAAAATTTCCAAGCCCGTCCTTTTCCACTTCTTGCAGGAATCCCTCGGCGGTAGCTGAGCACCCTGTTGGAAGGCAGACCACAAGGCCTATCATCCACAGCCACCCAGAGCAGGAGCCGGGCAAGGAACAAGGGTGGGGAAGAACCTACGCTTTGAGGCCTTCCGGTACGATCCAGTTTTCGGTGTCATTAGGTCAAAAATCCCTTCGCCGTTCGAGAAAGAAAAAGAAAGCCAGCCGGCCAGAAGGGCCTCAACGTTTCCAAGAAACGCCCGCTTTCCAGGAAAAAACTTAAGACGAAAATACGCTGGTTTATTCCATTGGGTCATTCGTTCGTTCCCGGACAGAACAGGAGCGCCACCTACAGGGCAAACCATCCTAATGCAGGGAGAAGACGAGACTTCCCACTGGTGGAAGGGTGCCTCCTGCAGGATCCTCTAGGAACTGCCCACCGGTGCCAGGAAGAAAAAAAAGGGGGTCCCCGAGGGATGTGTCCCCCCCCTTCAGTAGATGGCTTCATCGATGTTATCGTCGCTGTCGGCCCCAAAATCTTCACCGTTGTCAAAGTACGACATGATGTAGTCCGTCTCCTGTCGGGGGGAAAGACCAATCATAATGATATTAATCGTGAGATTTTTTTTTCTTTAAGAAAGACAGCAAACTGGACACTGGGAGCCGATGGGCCGGGAATGATACATCCTTTACTCTTGCCCGGGTCAAGTGGAAAGGATTTGGGGAGATTCACAGTCCATTAAGAAGACTGACAGGGGGAGAGAAAAAAGGGATTTGTTTGAAAAGAGGGGCTGGAAAAGAGATTTGCAAAAACCCGGGATGGCCCATAAGACCAACCCATTGGGTCTTTCCATCAAATCCAGCCTGAACTCTCTCTGAAGGCGAAGATGATGAAACAGAGGCTGTCCCGTTTTGGCTACCTCGCGAGAAGGCAAGGTTCATCTCTGGAAGAGACCAGGATTTTGGGAAAAGGTGGAAGGCAGCAGGAAAAGAGGAAGACCCCCATGTGAGATGGACGGACTGCCTCCAGGACCCACGACTTTAGAGCTGACAAGAGCTGAGCGAGACCTTTTGGAGATCGCTCATTTGAAGGCTCGCCACACGTTGGGGGCCACGTGATAGGACACGACAGGAAAATACCTCTTCAAATTCCTCTTCGTCATATTCTTCCTCCTCTTCTTCCTTCCCTTCCTCGCCTTCTTCTTTCTCCTCCTCCTCTTCCGACATCACCTCCTCCTCCTTATTCTCCAAAGTCTACGAGATGGGGCCCAAAGGACAGAAAAACAGCGGAGTGAGAGTGTCAGGATCAGACCTCACCCCCATCTCAGTTCTCTAGAGGTGGGTCATAAATCAAGGGCCATTAAGTCGATTCTGCCTTCGGGTGACCCTTTCCAGGGTTTTCCAAGCAGACCCGATTCAGAAGCAGTTTCCCCTCCTCTTCTTCTGGGGGGTGCCCTTGGACATTGGGCGGGGGGGGGGGATTCGAATTCCCAACCTCTGGCCCTGTAGCCAGAGACCTCAACCAGCAAGCTATAGTTAATATAATCTTAGAATTCGAGAGCTGGAAAGGGACCCCTAGAGATCATCCAGGTCCGGCCCCTATCAAGGAGGCCCAGTGGGAGATTCGAACTCCGAACTCCTCTGTGGAGCCAGAGGACTAACTCACTGAGCTAAATGGGACGAAGGACAGGATCCCGTTTTGGACAGACGTTCCCCCTGTATGACCCCCCCTGTATCGCTGGACCGGCCCGGGGGGCACTTAGGACACCGTCGACCCCCCCCCCGAGGAAAACAGGGCTTACCTCCAACTTCTTGATGGCTTCCCCTTTGTCCACTGGCAGATGCGATTTGCGTTTGGGGGCCAGGATAGCAGCCCCTGTACGGAGAGGAGACCAGAAGGTTAAAAAAAGGCAAAATGGGTTTTCACCGGACAGACCTTCTCTCTGAGGGGGTTGGACGCCTAGAGTAGCCGTGTAGGCCATATGGGCGGGGTATAAATCAAATCAAATCAAATCAATCAGTAAGACCCCAAAAGCAGCGTTTTCTGTCCTCAACCTCGTAGCCTGACCAAGGTGAGGGACGGCCATCTTGGCAAGGTATTCCCCCCCCCCCAAATCTGGTGGTTTCTACTCTCCGTCAGAAGGACCGATCTGGACAGACCTTCTCTGTGAGGGGTTTGGACCCCAAAAGCAGTGTTTTCTGTCCTCAACCTCCTAGCCAGTTTTTGGGTCTAGACCCGACCAAGGTGAGGGACAGCCATCTTGGCAAGGTACAATTTCTCCCGATGGGGTCCTTCTCAATTCAACCCGGAGAAGACTGGCGAGGGCCAGTTTTGGCAAACTTCGACTTGAATATATGTATTTTCCATATTTTCAGACCGTGGATAAGTGAATCAGCAGATACCGATCCCGCTGATAAAGGGGTCTGACAGTACAGGAAAGAAATGAACTTTCTTGATTGTAAGAGCTCTCTATGGGTGGAGCAGAATCCTTCTATTGGGGAATCCGAGCTGCTCTCCTTTCGGATTCCCTGCTACAGCCGGAGTTTCAGCTAGATGGGCTTCGGAGTCATCTCAAACAACCCTACCCATGTTATGGCTCTATGTTATCTCCTTTGAAAGAGGGGAAGGGCAGAGGAGTGAGGGGGGCAGAGCCATGATGTCTACTGGGCTATAAGGGTGGAGGTTCAAATCCCCCTACGTTCGGCCTGGCCTACCTCACAGGGGGGGGTGTTTGGTTGGGAAGCAAAATGTTGAAAAAAGCAGAGTGGAGTTAAATGATGCACTTTTCATTTTTTTTGTCTTTTCTGGAAGTACTTACTCTGGTTGCGAATCTTTCGCACTCGGATCTTCAATTCACAGGGCAGCCTCCTCCAGTCTGCAGGGAGGAAAAAAAAAAGATATTAAACAAGGAAAATTGAATCCATGAAAACATCTGGGTAAATTCAGAAAGGACTCCCGATAATTTAGGGGCATGGGTGTTAAAAATGAAAAGCACAGATTGTTACAGCTGATCATTCAAGGTAAAAGGAATATATACATATATTTCTTAAGAGAGACAGGGATACATACATGGACATAGAGAGCCCCAAGGGGCCCCTTCAGCATTTAATCTAAATTAGATATTCCCAGACTTACCAGGACTCCATTCGATGGCATTATCAACAGGGCCGGACATCTGATATTTGTCGGAATAGCGTTCCACATCTGGAAAAAAAACAAGTTTGTGAAAACTAGCAGGTCCATTTTTCCTGTTTTTGTTTGTTTGTTCAGTCGTTTAGTCGTGTCCGACTCTTCGTGACCCCATGGACCAGAGCACGCCAGGCCCTCCTGGGACGAGTAGATATCGCTGAGAGATGGGGGTAGTTTGCTGTTGATCTGCTTGGCTTTAATCGCCACCCTCTAAGGTTCGCTGTGCACAGGGTGCAAAAAACAACAGCTTCCTTCCCCTTTTAAAAAAAACACCTTGCTAAACCTTCCGTGACATCACAAAAGTCCAGCCAATCAGCTGGCAGGGAAGTTCACAGGGAGGGGGGGCTCCTTCTGTGTTTTTCTTTTTTTTACCTTTCTTTGGGGCGGACGGTTTGATAAAATAGGGCAGGTTCTTCATTGCACCCCTGAGCTCTTGTTTCAGGGCCAACATGTATTCAACTTCTTCTCCTGTCTGCAGTGGAATGGCTTTATATTCCAAGGGCTACAAAAAAAGAAAGAAAAATCTCTTTATACGGCTAATTTTTTTCTGCACAATAGGGTTGCAAGGTAGGCCAGTCTCAAAGCACAGCTAGCCCAAAGCCACCCCCTCAACTGCATAGCTCAGGCAGGACTCGAATCCGGACCTTCCGAGTCCCAATCTAAGATGAACCTAAAATCACTGTTGATTTTAAAATTAAGCGGGGGGGGACCACACTTACAGGGAACAGAGGTGATGGTTGGAGGGTGGGTGGTGGCAGTGCCTCCCCCTTGCTGATGCCCACCGCTTCCACATTGAAGGTCATGTGACTGCCCCGGCCCCTCCCTCTGGCCCCTCTCCCGGCCATGATGGGCTTTCCGGCAGGAGACGAGTGCGAATTTCAATCCGGCGGCTGCATCTGAAAGCAAAACCTGTCATGGAAAAAAAAAGAGAGAGAGTTGTACCTTTTGTTTCATCTCCATCCATCGAAAAGCAATTCCAGACTATCTTGTACCTCTGCAGAAGGAAAGAAGCCTGTTTTAAACTTTCTAGTCCTCAAATTTGGGGGGTGGGGGAGAATGCCAGAAGAAACCTACAGCCAGAGGCCTCTCCGGCTGAGCTATCCGTTCGGTTCTTTCGCACCTTTTCCAGGAACTCCACGCCGTGAACAGTCGCCGCCTTTTGTCCGGCTGCAAGACCACCGACCAACGCCAGAACAGGATCCCAGTTCTAATTCTGTCCCCCATGTATTCCAAGCTTTCTCCGTGTGAAGGGTTTGGTTGATTTCTTCATCTTTATTCATTCCCCTTTGCACTTCTTCGTCCGACGCCCTCTCAAGCCCTGAGCCACAAATCGACCCTTCGAAGAGGCCTCTCGTCTTCTCTGCCCCTGCCTGGGTTAACTGCCCACCGCCCGGGGTCACACACGAGAGCCAAAAACACCCAGAAGCACATGGATTCCCAAAATTGATTTTAAGGGTTTTATTGGCACATTATGTTCCTTCCTTCCCTCCTCCAAGGAAGCCCTCCCATCCCGTCTTTCGCTTCCCACTCCTCTGTCTGCCAGATCCCAAGGGCTTAGATTTGTCACCGCCCGGGTGGCTCGGGGGTGTGTGTGTATGTTTCAGGCCTCTGGGTGCGGAGCCAGTGGGTTGGGAGTTCGAATCCCCCACTGGGCCTTCTGGGAAGAGAAGAGCCAGCCTTGAGTGGCCTTGGCAAGCGAGCGGCACAGGAGTCCCGGGGAGACCCCAGAAGGAGGGAAGGGTCAATCCCTTCTCCCTGGAGAACCCCCCCATAAAAGGGATCCCCGCACCCCTTTTCCCAACTCCCCCAGAGATGGGCAAGGCTCCATCATTTCCCCCCCCACCCCATTTCCCAGGCCTTTCATTGGGCCATGGGGCCGGACGAAACCAATCAGCTAATGAATTGATTAATTGGCCTCGCGAGTCTCCCGCCCCCCCCGCCCGTTCAGGTCTTGGGGTTCCCCTGGAAAAACTCACGTGGCGGCGGGAGAGCGGAGATCAAAGGGACGCGCGGCCGCCGGACGTTCGGAGCCGGATACACAACGTTCGAAAGGGGAGGAGCCGTTCGCCCCGGCGGCCAATCGAAGAGGAGGGAGGCGTCGCCCAGGGGGCGTGGCTGAAGGACTCTGGGCTAGGAAGGAAACGGTCGGGGGGGGGGAGGAACTCGTTCCCTTGCTGACCACCTGTAACGAGTCGCTGGTTGTAACGTGCGTTACTCGAGACCGGTGGCGTTACGTTTCTTCCAAGGTACGGAGCGATTTCTTCAACAGGCCTTTTTTTTTGGTACCTTAATTTGGTGGAAGCTGATTTCCCCCCCCTCCATTTGGATTACAAAATCCAGCACCTGCAACGGCCGTTGGCGGGATGCTGGGCTTTGTAGTGAAAGAAAGGGCCGTCCCCTCTGCCCGATGTGCGCGTTACGTTTGTGATGATGCAGCACAGAAACAGTTAACTCCCGAGTATACGCCGAAGAATTGGGGCCGCTCAGTTATTTATCCCGCTCCCTTCTTGCTTCACCTGTACAGGACTACTCAAGAGTAAGCTCCACTGAGTTCAGTAAGACTGAGAGAGAAAACTTCTGGGAAATACAAGTACCAGAAAATTGGCTCATGGTCAGGCTGATTGGATGTTTTCTCAGCATTGCATTTCAGTAAAAAGTAACTTTTCTGTGCTTCCCTCCACAGGGAGGGTCCGATCGCTGTCGGTACTTCTCCCTAAAAGCTCAAAAGACTAAACTGAGGCTACCCGACTTTGGGCACATCATGAAAAGACAGGATCCCCAGGAAAAGACTACAATACTGGGAAAGACAGAAGGCAGCAGGAAAAGAGGAAGCCCAAATACGAGATGGACGGACTCCCTCAAGGAATCCACGACATTTGAGTTTGCAAGAGCTGAGCAGGGCCGTTGAGGACGGGACCTTTCGGAGGTGGCTCCTTCATAGGGTCGCCATGAGTCGAGAGCAACTTGGTGGCGCACGACACCCACGCAGCAGAAGTGTAAGAGAAAGGAATTTTTTTTAAAAAAATCGTTACGGTTACGAACAGATCAACAGCGAACAAACACAGAGACTGCTTTGAGCAACGGATTCTAGAGAAGGGGGGAAAAGCACAGAGCAAAGAGGGTTTGAATTCAGAGTCAGGAAAAGGAACAATGGATCAGTGCTGGACAGAAGGACCGTCCCCTCCGGCCAGAAAGAGCCCCACCAGCCAAACG